AAAGTCATGAACTCCATGGATTTGAAAGAGCCTTCCTCAAATATTAAGGTTAAGGCTGGGCATTACAGCACACACCTTTGATTCTAGCACTTGGGAGGCAGAGGCATGTGGATCTCTGTGAGTTTGAGGCCAGTCTGATCTACAAAGTGAGTTCCAGGCCAACCAGGACTACATAGTGAGACCATGTCTCAAACAAACAAACAAATAACAAAAATAAAATATTAAGGTGAAGGGCAATTGACAAAGACATTTGACCTCTGTGCCCCATATGTATGTGCGCACATGTACACACACACGCAGTCACAAACACACATCACACACGAAGAACTTACATTGATTTATATGGTTTATTGCCATCCATAACTATATATTAGTCATCCATATATCAAAAAGGACAGGCCAAATATTGAACCTTTTGGAACATTCTATTTGAGTAAGACTCATAGGACACAAAATCTCCTGATCATGAGATCCTAATTTTAATAACCTGTTGTGATAGTTAATCTTAATTGTCAACTTGATGAGAACTAAGAAACACTTCTGGGAATGCCTGTGGGAGATTATCTTGATTAGATGGAAAAACTTGTTCACTTGAGTGGCACCATTTCCCGGGCTAGGATCCCGTACAAAAAGGAAAAAGCGATCTGAGCACAAGTGTTTTCAGATCTGTGCTTCCTGAATGCGGATGCACTGTGATGGGCCAGCCTCCTGCTTCTGCCACAGTGCCTTCCCTGCCTGCTGCCACACCCTCCCCGCCATGACAGACTGTATCCCTTGGAACTATGAGCCAAAATAAACTCTCCCTTAAATTGCTTTTGTCAAAGCATTTTATTACAACACTGAGAAAATACCTAAGACATCTGTCCTAAAAGCAAAATGTTTACTGAAGGAAAAAAGTTCTCAAAATGTATATCCCTTATTGATCCAAAGAGTATTTTTCTACTCATTGTGGATTATGAGTCATGGTAAGGTGTGCTGAAGTTGAAAGTTAAAAAAGAAATCTAACAGAAATACTAACTTCAGAGGGCATTGCTCTTAGGAAGGGTAACTACTGTTTTAGGAAACTGCACTTTAGTTACTGTGTTTATTGGCTCTCAGATGCGTGCCTTGTCTGACTCAGCTCGATGAAGCAAATGGAGACTGGCCGCTGTGGGCTATGCTTCCCAGACTCCTATATCATCTAGGGTCGGCCTACTGTAGGTTGGCTGGTTAGAGGTACTTACAAGCAAAAGACAGGACTGCAGGAGGGCAGGAGGGAGAAAAGAGGGATCCAAATGACCTCACTCACGTGTGGAATCTAAAAAATCTCATTCAAGTTGAGAGTAGAGTAGTATTTACTAGACTACTAAATATTGGGGAAGAGTGGGAGGTTGGTCAATGGCACTAAGTTTTGCTTTGATAGGAAAAATAAGGTCCAGTATATAGTCCAGTGACTGTAGATAATTACAACCGAGATAATAAAAATTTTGTGTGTTCACCACATAGTAATGATAAATATTTTTTTTAAGTTTTGTTTTTTTGTCTTTTTGAAACAGGGTCTTCCTATAGCCCCAGCTGACCTGGAACTTACTTTGTAGACCAGCTGGCCTTGAACTCAGAGATCTGCCTGCCTCTGCCTCCCAAGTACTGGAACTAAAGGCATGCACCACCACACCTGGCTGAAATGATAATATTTTAGGAGATATCTATGTTTATTCTGAGTAGAACATTGTACAATGTACCTATGAGTCAAAGCAAAATATATTATCCTTTAAATATGTAAAATTTTTTGTGTCAATTAAAATTTTGAAATAAAGACAAGGTATTTCCCTCATTTTTCCCCATTTTATCCTTCTAGTAGCAGTTGTATTTCCACTAGCACTCCGACAATCACCATGGTTTCAAATTCTACTAGAAGACCCTGGCCCCTGTACTCCATTAGTTCTTCCTTAGCCCTAGTTTCTACAGTCTGGGGCAAACTATGATTGCTTACTGTTGCTATTTGATTGCATAGCTTTTCCATTATCAGTGTGACCATTTCCCTGAATTAAATTCCTTCTGTTTTCATGGTTGGACTTGTCTGATAGAATTCACTATGTAACTAAGCATGTGCTGGTCATGGTGTACAATACATTTCTCACTGTGAATAGTTAAAATAGTTTGAAAACCATGGTCTATAAAAGTACATCTGATAGCATACAGTGGATGGTGCTGGGCCCGTTTCATCAGTGGAGCACTGACGGGTCCCACTGAGCTGTGTAGAACATGAGGCCAGGGACTAAGCTAGTTCTCTCTCTCTCTCTCTCTCTCTCTCTCTCTCTCTCTCTCTCTCTTCAGTGTGGGATAATAGAATAGTAGAAAGTGTACTGACAGGGATGGGCAGACCAAGGTTGTAATTCTGGTTGGAGGCTGTGGACAATTCACTGAACCACGTATTCCAATGCTTACTTTGTTCATGAAACCAGAAGTCCTGGGATTGGCATGTACTTTTTAAACCAGTGACTACTCTAAGAAGCTATAATGTTACCACTCAAAATAAGATACTTATATATGCCCTGTAAAGTGTGAACATTCATAGTAATAGCATCTGAAGGTTTTTTGAAAGCATAATCATTTATGCTTCTAGCTAATTATTGTCCTGAATTGATCAGTCCTGGTTCTTGGAAAATTATATTAGCATTAGAAAGAATAGTTCAGTCTTCTGCTCTTAAGCTCGTAGGAAAGTAGCAACATGAACATAGGCCATAGGAATCACAGCATATCAAGTGATGGTTCCAGTTAATAACACCAGGTGATACGTCACATCATAAAATTGAGGTATCACATAAGAAAACGTCCCTGGCAAGGGATATATTTTTATCATTTTTAATAAAATATAGACAAAGTATGAGTGTTGACATCTTTAGAGTCAAACATATTCCCAAATCCCAAGTTCTAAGTATGAAACAACAATAAAAATGTTGGGTTATGATATTCTTTTATTTATCAGAGGATTCCATTTCCCCCCATATTTATATAAAGCCCTCTTACCAAAAGGCCCTAAATCATCTTTATAATAGTGAAATTCCAACATATATCGCAATGCTTCTGGTGAGACAGGTAATTGAAAATGCACAAATTCAGACAAAATGTGAGCATGTCTGTATGACCAACACTCATTAAAGTCGGTGTCTGTTCAGCTGAGTTTGTCTGAACGGGAAATAAAAGCTTTCTGCCCAGTGCAGAATCCTGATGCTTTCAACACTTTCCCCCAAATTCTTATGCTTATTTTCGATGTTCATTATTCTCTGGTTGGTAAGAGCACTGAAGCTAAAAAAAGGCATATTGTTGTGGAATGCACTTTAGCCCTACCTGTGCAGAGATATCCCCACATACAAGGTAGATTACTTAGCTCATGTTCTTTAAGCAGTCATCTATAGTTATTTCTGTTTTTATATATGGCTGGCTTATTTTTCACTTGAATACATAAAATGTGCACAGTTTTAGGAACACCATGGAGAAGGTGAAGATTGACTGTTTTCTCTTTTTCTTTTTCTCTTTGGTCTTTTTGAGATGGGTCTCCCTGCAGCCCCAGCTAATCTAGAACTTGCTATGTAGATCAGGCTGACCTTGATATTACGGAGACCCTCCTACCTCTGCCTCCCAAGTGCTGGGATTAAAGGTGTGTGCCACCAGGCTAGGCTGGTCAGTGATTCTTGACACCTCCTCAGGGGAACAGACTTTTGAGAGTCTTAGGAAATATATGAACTCACTGAAGACTCAAAACACATAGTAACATGGTCACAGAATCTGGAATGGTTTCAAGGAATTCTGAAATGATTGAAGGGCATTTGTATTCTGCCTCCATCGGTGCCCCAGCATGGATTAAGAACCTTGTACTGATGACAAATAATTGGACAGTTTTTGCACAAGCAACACACATCACGAGTCTGGGGAGCTACCAAGGTGAGTTAAAAATTCTGACTTCATCATTTAGTCATCTCCAAATTGTTTGATCATGTTTCCCTTACACCTAAAAAGAAAAACTAAGACAAAGCATGATTTATGTATATTTATTCATCATAACATGTGTTCAGTATTAATATCAAGTATATTATAAAACACAAAATAGAAATGATGAAAAATGAGATGAAGATGATAGAAAAAGTTTAATTATCAATAATGAATGTCTCAAGACAAAAATGTGTGCTTAAGTCAGACTTTATCAGGAGAGGTAGTTAATATAAATCCATATCTCAAGTAATCTTGTGTAATGGTAGATTTTTTGACCCATATCTTGTGAGATCTAATTAGACCCTCATTGTTTTACTTCTCATCGTGGCTGGCAAAGAATTCTTAGAGGTTAAAGTGGCAATTTTGATCCTGATTTTCACCTGTGCTTGCATTATCTCCATCTCAATCTTTGATTTCTTTTCAGAAATCTTTTTAAGTCAGTTGCTTCACAAATAAGAGGGTTGATTGGTTAAAATTAGATACGGTAATGTCATCTGTGAATCTATTTAAGGTGGAACCTGTAAACTGGAGGCAGTGTCAATGCCTGAAGCGATATCAATGCTATTGAGAGAGCAGAGGGACACCAGCATTGCTCCTGCCTGTGGCCGTCCTCTGACCAGTGATCCTCAAGTATAATGTTGGCTTATGCCTACTTTGCTTAGGGGGTACCTACGTCTAGGATCAAAGAATAATAAATATTTATAAAGCTCATTTTGGGGGAGTTATAGCATCATGCATATTCAAAATCATGAAACAGACGTTCTCATAGTCTCCTCATCTTTGGAGAACCCTGCTTAAGTGTTACTCACTGCCTCTCAGTTTCCTCAACTGTAAAATGGAGGTGACGTCACATATCTCATCAGGTTAAAGGGATGGAAGGTTTTTGCACAACTGCATTGTGATTTAAAGGAGAAATAAACAAGAGCTGTTATCACGAGTGTGACTTACTCTGTTAGTGCATATAGCTGCCACATAAGCAGTTATTCCTTCCAGCTTGGCTTAAAAATAAGCAAACAAAGCCTCTTGTCAATGCTGTTTATACAAAAGTGCAGCTTCCCAGACACCCCCCAAAACAACATAAAAGCTGAAAACATTTTCAAGTCCTTTAGCTTGAAAAATATAAAGATTCTGATCTTTTTAATGAACTAATACTGAGGTCCTGCTGAATTCTGTAAGCCAGATAAATACACTATTTCTCATCCTTCCATTCAACAGTGTTTTTTTAAACAACATACAACATGCTAAGCATCTAGCTAATTGCTGAGGTTTCAAAGATGAATTGAACTTGCTCTATAGCCTCCAGGCACTAACCATCTAGTGGAGGATACCAAACAAATAATTGCATCAAAGTGATAAGTGCTCTAATGGAGGTACACATCAGTTGCTATGGGAGCAGAGTAGGACCTGCAGTTTCTCTGTCTGCAAGGGCAGGAAGGATGCTGGGTCACAGGTGAGTCTTCTAGGATGTGAGTTTGAGACCTGCATATCAGACTGAGGGAAATATAATCAGTAGAGCACCATAGGAACCAGCAGGTAGACCAGGTATCCCACAGTGCAGCCTTTGGGGAAGTCAACAAGGCTCATAGAGACCTGTCCTTGTACAGCACTGGGTATTATGCTAAGATGTTTGAAATTTATCCCCAAATGGATTGGGAATAGATGGGGATTTCAAGCTAGAGAGCAATATGATCACAAAGAGAATTAGGGTGGCATTTTGAAGGAATATGGTTATGGAGAGACAACACTTTTTGAGAGTATTCATTGGGGTGAAAAAGGAGAGTGTTTATTTCTGTAATAAATTTTCTCGCCAATTCTAAACTCTTCACTAAATTAAATGTCAGCTGATTCAATCTGTCAAAGCTCCATTTCCATTACTAAAGATGAAATAATCATCCCTACATGGTCTTTCTTGCTCTGACCTCAAGTCAGGCAACGTTTCAGTCCATAGCAATGCTTTGTCTGCTAGGACTAAAAGCTTCAAACTTTGTACATGGGACTTTTCTTCATGAGAGTGTTGTAACCAGATACCAGTTTTTAAGCCCAGCATTGACAAGAAGTTCTCATCTACCAAAGCAGACTTATGTAACAAGCAAATGTGGCTACAGACATGAAAAAGGCAACTTCCACCCCTTGATACCAAACTAGAAAGAGAAAAGCAACTTCAGAGAACACATTATGACTCATCAAAGTCCAGAAGGAAAAGCTTCCTGGGAAGTAGCATCCTGTGCAGCCTCCAGGAGTCCTTTTAGCCTCCAACCATATTTGCTTTTGTGTGATTTTCTGCAAAACAAAAGAACCTATCATTTTCTTCCTTAGCATCATCAGTTGTTAAATTTTGCTTTACCTCAGAGATGAAGCTCATGCTGTATATTGTACACTCTTCTTTTCATACCGAGCAAATGGTGCTGCCTTTTCATTTCTTCTGAGTTAAAGCTTTCTTTTATGAAATTCCTACTTGCGGCAGTACAAGCTACAAACAAGATGATTCTTCAGAGGAAAGACCTGAAGGGAGAAGGTGAGGCATTCTTAGGTCAATATGATGGGGGGAAAGGAGTCGCGGTATCTATATTTAATCTCTACTCCCAACCGCAGATTATGTTCTTCCATTCCCATAGCTGTACACATAAATTGTGGATACCAACCCTTGCAAGTTACTGCATAAAAATTTTGTATGAGCTGAAGAATAGACATACGTAACAAAGGAAGGGTTTTCTCCTTACTTTCTCTTTGATGAGACGATTGCTCTTTGTGAAATTTGTCATGGCAGGGGGAGGTAGAATTTTAAGGGGATAAAGGACACATATTCTCGAGAGAATAAAGGTAAAGCCATGCTGGGCATGGTGTTGTGTGTCTGTAAACCCAACTAATTAATGAGGCTGGGGAAGGAGGAAGGTGAATAGCAGGGCAGTCTGGGCTATATAGCTAGCCTGTCTCTATCTCTGTCTCTGTCTCTGTCTCTGTCTCTCTCTCTCTCAGACACACACACACACACACACACACACACAGTGTGTGAAGTCATCAGATTGTTAAACTTGGCATGTGATGTTTATATGTGAAGGAAACAACTTAGGCCCTTAAAGTTTAAAACCTAATCTTTGTTAATGAATACAGATAAGCATTGTCATTAAGTTAAAACCCTTTATTATAGATAACTAGCTTTCTGACTTGCTTTCTATAAGTAGAAACCCATTAAGCAGTTAGAGGTTAGAATTTATATTATACATTTACTACACTATTAATTGTGTTTAGGATTTCTCAGTATGTATTCCCCCATTGAAAGTTATACTGACCTATCCTCAGGCAGAGAAATCAAGTTCTTACAACAGGTTCTTCAAGGCACACTATATTATAGCTCCTCGCCTGTTTTTGTTGTCTGGAGGTTCACTTTGGGCTAGACAGAAAGTGAAGAAGCTAAAGTTTAACAAGGAAGGAGCAATACCTTAGAAAACTACAGGATGTGAGGTCACTCAGTCTCCCTGCTATGGTCCAAGTGGAGCCTTTGGAGGCACTATTTCTGGGGCCTTCATCAGTGATGTAAACAATTCCCTGAAACTTAACAACCACATATGCTGTATCTGGCATTTCCCCCCATTGCTCCTTGTCTTCAACTTTACAAAGTTTTTAAGCACCATTAGAACAATATTCCAGATCCTGTTGTTCACACACTCAGTCCTGCAAGATTAAAATAGGAGTTTACTCTGGAGGGGAGGTGGTGGTGGAAATCCTTAACCAAACAGTCAGTGTACTTTGAATGACTAATTTAAGCCATTACATTACAAAATAAGGGATAAATCATACTTTTCATAATGCAACCACGTAGGAGCAGTTTTAAGAGTCAAGCACCTACATTAATCTGAATATAAAATAATAGGCCCCTGATTTAAAATCTCCTAACATTCTTTCACACCTCATAAAACTAAAAATAAAATTGTCTCACCAAACTGACCTATGGGTCGGACCAACCAACTGTATTTCAATGAAAACTGAAGCAGTAGGTCTCAAAACCACGACGTGCAGGCTGATTGCAGTTTGCAGCCTTAATTGGTCTTAAATGTGGGGTGGGAAAGAAGAGACTCTGGTCTGTAGAGAATAAGAGACTTATTTCCCTTCTTAAATCAAAAGCAGATTCCATGGCTCAGCTGCCCCCTAACTCTCCCGCCCCACCCCCACGGGGTTGGTTGTTTTAAAAATACATATTTTGTGTATATTTTACACGAAGATGACAGGTGAGGGGAAGTGAGAGTGCTGCGTGCCGTCCACGAAGTAAACAGAGGGGTTAGGCGGGTTTATTTGGGCTTATTTATTTACTGGGCGTCCAGCCTCTCAGCTGTTTCTTGTCGCTGGCTTTTGGAAGCTTGCAGTCCTTTAGGGATGAGACAGATTTGGAAGGCGTGTTCTTTGTGCCGCCTCCCTTCTCACTGGGGGTGGGGGTGGGTGGGTAGGAGGCAGATTTATGACAGCCTTGGGGGAAGGGTGAAAAAGTTTCAGTTGGCATGATGATGCCAGTTTTTCCCCTCGGCCAACACAGTGCCACAAACAGCTTTGCTGCCACTCCGAGCCCTGCCCCCGCCGTCCCCTCCCTTTCTCTCTGCAGGCTCGCGCTGGCAGGCGCAGGCATGGTTAAATTCCAGCACCTTCTCCACATTCCCCCGAACTACTACACGCTCCGTTACTACGGCTGCACTCCGGTCTGCCCCAACCTCCCGGGAGGACCTCCACGGCGCCTCGGGAAGAGGACAACTGGCGGAGGGACCCGTGGCGCTCAACTCCAGCAAGGGCTAGGGGCTGGCCGCGCGTCCTGCGCAGTGTCCCCGCTCCAGGCACAAACGCCGCGGATAGCCGCGGCGCGCACACACACACACACACACACACACACACACACACACACACGCACACACGATCCACGCATACAGTAGAGCAGTCTCGATCCACATTCTTGCACACCGCCCCCTCCCCCCCAACCCCCCGCGCGTCCGGAGTCGCTGAGCGGGGCGAGTGACAGGCGCGTCCCGCCAACCCGCGCCCGGCGGGGCAGGGAGGAGCGGCGCGCGGGGCCAACTGCGGCGCGTCTTCCGGCGCCCGTGGTGGCGGCGAGGGTGGGACGCGGGGCGGAGCCCGAGTTTAGGAAGAGGAGGGGACGGCTGTCATCAATGAAGTCATATTCATAATCTAGTCCTCTCTCCCTCTGTTTCTGTACTCTGGGTGACTCACAGAGGGAAGATTCAGCCAGCACACTGCTCGCGAGCAAGGTAAATATAACTTACAACTCCTTTCTCCTCTCTTCCCTCGCTCCGGCCTCCCCGCTGCAGCCTCCGCGGAACCCCTCCAGCACCGCGCCGCCTTCGCCCCGGATTATTCATTCTTATCCTAATTATTATTTATTGTGCATGCACGGAGACCAAAACAAACAGGCGGGCCAACCGCTACAACAACAACAAAAAGCCCGCCTCCTCCCCTCCGGCCTCAGGTGGAATGCTCTAACGACAGCTCCCGGGCGGCGGTCGAGAAAGTTTCAGCCGAACCCCGCCGTTCTAATAATAACAGTAATAATTACTACTTCAAGGGGGCAAGGGGAGAAATCCCAGCAAGCCACAGCCTTGACCCCGGCCAGGCAGGCAGAGATGCGCTGCCAACTCCGGGTTGCAACACACTCTCGGCCAGGTTGCTGTGCCCCATCCCCTTACCAGCAGTGGAGGGGAGGACTGGTGGCAGGGGGTGCGGAAGGCTGGGGGATCCGGGAGGAGGATGGAAAGGCGACAGTTCATCCCCAGACACCCTCCCCGGAAGAGTTGGAAGGGGAACGGGAAAGGAGGGCGAGGATCCCGGGCTGGCGGCTGGGCGCCAACCAACACGGCTGCCACTCGCCTCCCGGGGACTTGTTTAAAGGGCTCGGGCTGCAGGGACGCGAGCCGACCTCGGCGGGAGAAGCCCGGGCAGGAGCGCTGAGCCCGCAGCAACCACCTCCGCGGGGCCGGTGCGTGCGGGATCGGAGGTGTCACCTCCACTTTCCGTGTCCCCTCCGGCAGGGATGGGGATGCTGACTGGTAGACAGGCCTTTAGGCAGAGGGGCTGCCTCGGGGGCTGCGGCCGGGGTGCTGCGGGGGTTCCTGTCTGGTACCTGGCACTGCGGGCTGGGACGTTGAACTTCGGGGTGTCCAGCCCCGATCGCACTGCTGGGGGTGAGAGGAGGCCCTAAGAAAGGAGGTCGGAGGTGCCCGCCGGGCTCTGTTGCTCTGCCCTCCCCCTCCCGGGGTTTGTTTTCTTTTGCTTGGTGTCTTTGCTTGGCTCGTGCCGCGGTAGCTGCGGCCGTGGGGCGCCTGAAATCCACTGGGTGAAAGGGGCGCACTGGGACCCGGGAGAGCCACGGCGGCTGCGGGCTGGGGAGGCCACCATCCGGATAATCCTCGGTGCCTGACTGTCACAACAGGACCCGCGCTCCGGGGCAGCGGTGGTGGCGTTTGCCCGGGAAGGGGAAGGGCTGCAGTGGGGAGGGAATGAGGGGTGGCGAAGGAGGGAGGCGTGGAGAGCCGGTGGGAGCCTCCTCCCAGCGATGACACGCACCCCTTCCTCCTGGCTCCGGGCTTTTCGAGTTTGCTTTATTCCCATCCCAACCTAGTTCAGCCCTTCCTCTGCCTCCACCCTCCACCCGGCCGCCTTCCCTTTGGTAGGCGCTGCAAAACACGGCCATGCCATCTGCAAAGGTGTCGCGATGCACTTCCCCAAATCACCGGTCCAGCGCGCCAGCCCCTAAGGCGCCCTCCAGCCACCGAACGCTCGCCGGCCGGGTGCCCCCGGGTCCCCCGCAGAAGGCCGCTATCGCTCGGCGCTGGGAGGGGCTCAGCGGTGCGGACTCCACGGGACCCCGCGCTCCGGCTGGTTTCCGGTACCCCCCGGGAGATCGCGGGGGGCCGGTGTCTGCGCGCTCGCCCCCGCCTGGATTACATTATTATTTTGATCCGGGTTGCTGTTCTCTGCGGACGGTGAGCACGGGGCTGGCGGGGCTGCCTGGGGCGGGGGGGTGGAGGGAAGTTGGACGCAGATCAAGCTGGGGGAAAAAAAAAGTTTGGCCGGGCGGCGGCGGGGCGGCGGGCTCCCGCGGCTCCGGGCCCCGCGTGTGCTGTGCGCACCCGGGCGGTGCACCGCAGGCAGTGCTTGGCAGCTCCCGGGAGCCTGGCGCGGAGGTGGCGAGGTCTGCGGCGCTCGGGCCGGAGGTGGGTGGCGTGCGTGTGGCGGTGTGCGAGTGCGTGGCGCGCGCTGGCGGCGGGGAATCAGGAAGTCACCGCGGGAAGAGCACACAGACGTGTTTGATCGCCGTGACATGACGCGCGCGAGGGAGGAAGCGGCGGCCGCGGCGGCGGCGGCGGACGGGCCCGGGGCGCCGGCCTAGGCTGCAGCGAGCACAGCGGCTCCGTCAGCCCCGCGCCGTCCCCGAGGTAAGAGCGGCCCGCGGAGCTTCCCAGGTCTCTCCTGCCTTTCCCTTGGGTCTCGGCTCCCCTTTCCTGCAAAGTCAGGGAGGCCGAGGAATTGGGCTCCCGGTCCTGGGATCGATTGGGTGGAAAACTTTGCAGCGAGAGGCACCGCGCGGGGGAGAAGGAGGCCTCGCCGGCGGTGGCGGCGTTTGTCAGTTCTTCTGGTCCCGAGAGAGTAGCGGCGTCCTGTGGCTGGAGCACGTTCGTAGTTCGGGCCTAAACCTTCATCCAACTTCTCGCAGGATTTGCTCCATCAAGAAAATAAATATTCCGAGGCTTCCATTCTCTCTTGCCAGACATTTGGGTGTTTTAAGCGAAGGAGGAAGGCTTAGGAGTGGAGGGAGTGGGGGTGTTGTGCAGAATCCATTCCTCATTCAATGTCTGCACCGAATGTTATGTAATTTTAGCAGCACATGGGTGCAGAGCCCGCACCGGGCTTCTTCCTTCTTTGTTTATGTAACTTTTGGAGAGTTTTGCTAGGTTGTCACCTTTTTCCCCCTCCTCCCTAGAGCAGTAGAACTTGGTGCTTCCGAAAAAGCGGAGTGACCCAGGCTAGAAATGTTTTGTAGGGGTGTCGTCATTGCCCCTCTAGTCATTCTATGACATGTATTCCTTTGTACTATAACAATGGAGCATAAGGAAGACATTAAGGATACACATTGTTTGTGGCACTGCGGTGTGGTAATTTTGAACGTCTCAGTTAATTTTCAAACTTCCATTTCAAAGGACCTTTTGAATTTCCACCTGGTTGTGTTTCTTGCCTGTGTGAACACTTAAGATTGTTTGAGACTTGCTTGGGGTGGAATAGCACCAAATTCCAGAAACCAGTGAGCACTCTTCTAAAACAGAAGCCTCACTTTATGCTCTCTGTGTGTATATACTAAATGCACATTCCGGGGTTTCCAGGAATATGTTCCACAGGGCCCCTACCTGAAGCAGTTGGCCACATTGTAGTTATAAGGCTTCCAGGCTACTTCTGACAACACTGGTGAAGGGTTAGGAGGTGTGGCTGGGTTGAATCTTAGCTGGCATTGTTATGCAAATAGACACACTTTTTCTTTTCAGAATTTAATTGCCCTTTTATTTTTCCCCCCTCCACTAGCTTTTAAAACACTGCCTTTATAAAAGAAAGAGGACCTGGTGTGTGTGTTGGAGGGGGGAGGGCAGTACTTGGGACCTAGAACCAGAGAGGGTAATTGGATAAATATGATTTAACTGTAAACATGTAGAAAATGTCATAATGAAACCCATTATTTTATACAATTAATATACACTAAGAAAAATTTCACAGAAGAAAAAACAATAAGAATGTAAAAACTAAAATGCTTCCCTTTATTTCAGATATTTACTATTGGTAAAAGAAGATTTATAAACACTTGTTAGGTTTTTAAGATACTTATTAAAGTAAGCTCAGGAGGAAACATAGGGCAGATGTTCTGTCTTGTTTGGGGCATTGAAGGGTGCTCTGCTGGGAGAGAACATTTTTAAATGAATTAGGATTTGGGGTGTCAGAACACTTGATGGGGAGGGAAGGAGAGCCCCTTCATACCGTCTTTCCCTCAGGAGTTATATCGCTCACAGCCCAGCTTTGGCTCTGGCTGCACTGTGGTGCCTCACAGAAAATATTCACCACAGAGCCTGTTCAAAGCAGCCTTAGATCTTTTCTTTTGTTCCTTTTTAAAGTGGTTTTTGAGCATTTCTCATCAAGTTCCTTGAAAAGTGCTTTGACCAACACCTGAGGCTCAGAATTGACCAAAAAGAGGTGTGCCTTCTATATTGTTAATGCTTGAATTCTGTTTCAAGTATTCCTGACAGAGTATACCTAGAAAGGAACCCCTTTGCAGATAATTATTTAAAGCTCTGTTTCTTTGATTAAAATAACTCATCCTATAGGCTGGTGTCAAAGCACATCTTTCTCTTCTAGGAGGTAATTGTGATACTCTTTATAATGCTGTAATATTTTGACATTTCATTTTAAAGGCTTATTGTATATTGGAGCAGGACTGTAAACAGAAAGTTTCATAAATTATGAAAGTGCTGCTGTCCTCCAGTGTTGTCAGTTTTTTTTATCCCTTAGAAGTCTTCCTTTGTAAACAAGGCCTTTGTCAAGCTCTCCTAGGTCAGCAGCTTTTTGCTACTCCAGAGAAATAATAAATCACTATTTATGACATCTTGACATGCTGCCACTAGGACAGCCGACTTATCTTAAGCGCCAGGCTGAGGACCTTTTCCCAGTCTAAGCACTGTGAGGGAGTGCCAGGCAGCCCTGACTGAGCCCCAGAAGTTTTGATTCTTAGTGCTTCTGGTCAAGATGATGTTAAGGGAAGAAGTGGACAGTGCCTGGCCTCAAAAATCTGCCTGCCAGTCCCAGTTCTTTTCTGTAGTAATTTCTGGTGAGCAGATGAGAAAATGTCGTCCCCAATATGAAAAGCCAGATTTGGAGGTTACTTTTGATTCCCCCCCCTCACTTTTTTTTTCTTATGTAAACTAGTGCTATTTTAAGCAGGATACTGTTTTTTGTTGTTGTTGATTATGTTGTGTTGTTTTTTTTTTTCCTGTCATCTTTGGAAAACTTTTTATTGGGGAACCTTTTTTTTTTTTTTTTTTTTTTTAAAGAGGGTCTCACTATGTAATCCTGGCTGGCCTGGAACTCACTGTGTAGAGCAGTCTGGCCTTGAACTCAACAGAGATCCGCCCACCTCTGCCCAAGTGCCGGAATTAAAGGCCTGTGCCACCAGGCCCAGCTATTGTGGAGCTTTTAATATCTAGCTAGTTAATAAAATCCTTAGTCTTTCCATAAGTGATTAGAAAATACAGATGTTGGCAATTTATCTGGTGGAATATTTAGGAAGTTATGAGGTATTTATTTTGAAGAAAGTTGTGACTTTATACTTAACAGAGAACATAGGAGTCTAACACTATATTCTGACAGAGTCTTTATGAAAGAGCATATTTATTTCCTAAGATATTTATCACCACGTTAAATGGGATCTTGCAACCAGGGCCTGGAACACTTTACAGCTCTATTACTATTTATTATAGCTTTATTATTTGTCTATGTTAATATAGCACTTTTCCTTGAAAGTGTCCAGGATATATCAAAGCTTTTAAGTAATAAAAGTTTTTTTTTAATAGTTAAAATATTTTAATAATTATACCTTAGCAAAACATGAAAGGGATCTAGTGAAATTCAGTAGCTAAATGGAGTTTTTTGAATGCTGAATAGAAACACCTCATTAATTCACTCACATGGTCACCTAGAGTAATGCAGCAGATATGAATACAGATTTTCTTCTCTTTTTCTTTCTTTTCTTTTCCGTTTGAGACAGGGTCTTATATATATCAGGCTGGCCTGGAATTCACTGCTCCTTCTGCCACTACCTCCCAACTGCAGGGCTTACAAGTGCATACTACCATGCTGGTGCTAGAATTAGAACCCAGGGCTTCTTTCATGCTAGGCAAACACTCTACCAATTGAGCTGCATTCCCAGCCCACGATTTTGATTTCTGCTCTCCATTTCTTGACTTTTAGATTCATAATATATAGTAGGAACTTAGTATGAATGATGATATTTTACTGACTCTATGAGGTGGACAAGGTGTTATGACATATTATCAGGCTATAATTCTGTATGATTTAGAGCATTTAAGAATACACTGCATTTTTGGGTAGATAAACATCAGTCCTATACCAGTGTAAGATCTACATTTGTGCAAACACTAACATCTTAGAAACTTTAAAAATAAGTGATTTAATTTAAATATGGGCTGGACTTTTTGTAAATTAATGAATAGAAGCTATAGAAGTTGAAATAAAACCTGTAGTTTAAAAAGTCATTAAGTATAATTCCCTCTTTTTAAAAACTGAATTTGAAATTTAGAAGTTAAAACTACTTAAAAAAATTTTTGAGAACTGTAATATGTTGGTACTCAGGTTATCCAAGGGTCTGTTGGTTTGCACTTCAGTTGTGCTTTTCTTGTTTGAGATCACTGTATAACTCCTTACCAGCTTGATGTGGTGGTCTGCAGTGCTTTGCCATCACACTGGGAATTGAGCCATTCCTGTGGAAATTCAGTGTCTGTGAGGAAAGCCCCCCCCCCATTCAATTGTGCGTTGTACAACTAGGCACATAATAGCTTTGCAAATATTTGCAGCTATTCTCTGGTTTGCTGTTCTGCACTGAAATGCCATTAAGCAAAGAAAAAAAAAATCAGTGGTAAGAAGTGATGTGTTTTCCAGAATGTACCCTGAGCATCTAACACAGGAGTAGCAAATGGAACTGCTGAGTCCTGTCATAGAGGGAGATCAGGGCCAGCTCTCTTCATGGGGCAGATAAGCTCTTAGGTTTAGGGTTGCAGAGGAGCACTGCAGGGATCGGGGTAGGAAGTGCTGTTCATTTCACATCAGAAGAAAGCGTGACATCAAGGGACCAAGCCTGGACAAGCCATGAGAAGACCACTGTACCTATTTAGACCTGGTTGCCTGGGGCAAGAGGTCCCAGTGGGGGAGAGGTTGTACAAGATAAAGTCAGAGATTGTAGAGAACCTTGACTTCTGGGCTAGAACATGAATCTTTTATCCAGTGTGTGCTGGAGGCTTGTCCAGAAGTTTTGAGCCAAAGGCATTGATTCATTAACAGGGCTGTACTTTTAGATTAGTCTGGTAACTTGTGTATTCAACTTCAGGGTGAGAATTGAAGCTATTTGAAAGATCTTGGTGGTAATAAACATTTGTATACAATAAGCTTGCAAGGAATCTTCGTATCTAATAATTTATTTGCTTCATTGCAAAACTGAGATTGTCACTGGGTCTAATATAATATGCCTCTTTTGTAAGGAAGGAATTTGAAACACAAAGAGTTTCAATAAACCTGTTTATGACAGATTCGTGAATGGCTACTATCCATTGTACTGCAGTGGATTTGAAGGATTCATTGTTGAATTTTGGATGTGATTGTGACAGTC